GAGCGGCTTGGGAGATACTCTCATCTCCCCTGCGTTAGCTTTTTTTCCTTTCTCCTTGGGGCTGCTGTGGATGTCATGGAAGTGGCTTTTGATGCACCTGTTGTTTGTTTGTTTTAGGAGGAAACAGTTGCAGAGCTAAGAACTGTTGAGAGTGAAGCTGCATCTTATCTGGACCAGATTTCTAGGTAGGGCTGCTTGGGCTTGGCCGAGGCACTGGGGGCTGATGAGGTGGTGGGCACCATCAAGGGTCTCCTGCAGCTTCTTCCTCTTCTCTCTCCTTTCAGATATTATATTACAAGAGCCAAATTGGTTTCTAAAATAGCTAAATATCCCCATGTGGTAAGTAAGTGGTTTGTGGCCTGAGGGTGGAGGTGGCAGGATAGTGAACAGTGACTGTTACTGGGAAGGAGCTATCTGGGAACAGTTGGGCCTTGGGGACTAGCTTTTTCCTCTGCCCTCCTTGCAGGAGGACTATCGCCGCACCGTGACAGAGATTGATGAGAAAGAATATATCAGCCTTCGGCTCATCATATCAGAGCTGAGGAATCAATATGTGAGTAACCTCAGTCCTTGTCCATAGTTGCTGTGGCTTCACTTAGTTCTGTTGAGAGTATTCTTGAAATTCTCTGAAGGGCTGAGATGAGGGTCTGAGGTAAAATTAGTAGACTAAATTCTGTTCATCAACTGAGTGTTGAGAACCATGAAGTCCTCTAGCGGGGTTTCTCTCTTCTTTCTGCCTGAGAGGAGGGGTGTGCCGTACAGTATGGTTAAGATATCGGTGTTAGAGTCAGACAGACTTAGGTTTGCAACCAGGCTCTACCTGTATTGTGTGATCTCGAGCAAATTGTTTAAGCTCAAACTTCAATTTCTTCTTTAAAATGGGACTGGGCTGGGTGCAGTCGCTCATGTCTGTAATCCCAGCACTTCGGGAGGCCAAGCCAGGTGGCTCACCTGAGGTCAGGAGTTTGAGACCAGCCTGACCAACATGGTGAAACCTTGTCTCTACTAAAAATACAAAATTAGCTGGGCGTGGTGGCACATGGCTGTAATCCCAGCTACTTGGGAGGCTGAGGCAGGAGAATCACTTGAACCCAGGAAGTGGAGTTTACGGTGAGCCAAGAGCGTGCCATTGCACTCCAGCCTGGGCAACAAGAGTGAAACTCCGTCTCAAAAAAAATAAAAATAAAAATAGGCCTGGTGTGGTGGCTCACGCCTGTAGTATCAGCACTTTGGGAGGCCGAGGCAGACATATCACTTGAGGTCAGGAGTTCGAGACCAGCCTGACCAACATGGAAAAACCCTGTCTTTACTAAAAATACAAAAAAAAATTGGCCGGGCATGGTGGCACATGCCTTTAATCCTAGCTACTTGGGATGCTGAGGCAGGAGAATTGCTTGAACCCAGGAGGCGGAGGTTGCAGTGAGCCGAGATTGTGCCCCTGGACTCCAGCCTGGGCAATAAGAGCGAAACTCAGCCTCAAATAAAAATTAAAATTAAAAAAATAAAATGGGACTGAAGAGGCCGGGTGTGGTGGATCACACCTGTAATGCCAGCACTGTGGGAGGCTGAGGCAGGTAGATCACATGAGGTCAGGAGTTTGAGACCAGCCTGGCCAACATGGTGAAACCCCATCTCTACTGAAAATACAAAAAATTAGCTGGGCATGGTTGGTGGACCCCTGTAATCCCACCTAATTGGGAGGCTGAGGCAGGAGAATCGCTTGAATCCAAGAGACAGAGGTTGCAATGAGCCAGGATTGTAATCCAGCCTGGGCAACAGGAGCGAAACTCCGTCTCAAAAAAAAAAAAAAGAAAAGAACTGAAGAGTACCTACTCACAAAATTCATTCAATTTTAAAATAAGTGAGATAACACATTGAAGAACCTGGTACAATTCTTACTATGTTAAGTGCACAATACCTGTTAGTTGCTACTAGACACTTGGGGCCTCGGAAATACCCATTTACACCCAGTTTAAGTATAAGAGAGGTGGTGCTGGCACCCTGAATGCAGGCTCAAGTGAGATTAAAATTACAGTAAGTCGGCCGAGCACAGTAGCTCACATCTGTAATCCCAGCACTTTGGGAGGCTGAGGTGGGCATTTCACGAGGTCAGGAGATCGAGACCATCCTGGCTAACACGGTGAAACCCCATCTCTACTAAAAATACAAAAAATTAGCTGGGCGTGGTGGCGGGCGCCTATAGTCCCAGCTACTTCGGAGGCTGAGTCAGGAGAATGGAGTGAACCTGGGAGGCAAAGCTTGAAGTGAACCGAGATCGTGCCGCTGCACTCCAGCCTGGGTGACAGAGCAAGACTCTGTCTCAAAAAAAAAAAAAAAAATTACAGTAAGTCCTCACCTAATGTTGTCCATAGATTTTTACAAACTGTGACTTTAAAAATAATGTATATCAAAACCAAGTGTTTTTAATTAACATTGTAACAAAATGATGTTATTTAAATCCAGGTTATTTGAGGACCTTCTGTACTTGATTTGCTCATCTGCTTAAAGTCGCAGTTACTAAGAACCTATTGGTGACATTAAGGGCTTACTGTATGCAGATGATTGCTTGGGGATTTGTAGAGGGGTCTGTCACTTTCTTGGTGAGGTAAGGGTTGTACAGATATGTGATTTCCCTGATCCTTCTTCTCCCAGGTCACTCTACATGACATGATCCTGAAAAATATCGAGAAGATCAAACGGCCCCGGAGCAGCAATGCAGAGACTCTGTACTGAGGCCAGGGCCAGGGCCAGGGGACTCTGTGAGTCTGGCTCAAGACCGACATTGCCTTGGTTTGTTACATGACTATCGTGATGGGGAAACTGGCTGGAAATAGTAATCACACCTCTCTGTTTTTAGTTAGAGTCTAATGAAACTCTCATCTAGTTCTGTGATGTGTTTACCTCTTTTTTCAGGCCTCAGGAACTCTTCTATTTCCTTCCCTAATACCCCACACCCAACCTGTCGTAATTTCTGGAGAACTCCAGGTTTGTGTGTGCAGGATGTTGGCACAAAAATACTTGTGTTTTCACTCTCCTCCTCTCTCCCTCCTGTGTCTTGCGCTGTATGTTTTCTTCCTTTTGATAATTAGTTGGTTAAAAGCTGAAGGGAACCGGAAGGAAAGTGCTAGGTGTTTTTTAGGAACTAGGGTGGTGGGGGGATGAACTTCTCTTCCTCACATGAGGTTACTGTTTCTTTCCTCTGTGGGGCATTGGATCCTTCCACAGTTGCCCTGGTGATGACTTCGGGCTTTGCATCTGTGTACATCCCACCTTGAATCTTGATCATGACAAGAAACACGTTAGGCCTTCAGTCAATTCCCAAGCTCCTTCCGATGTTTTTATAATGGGCGTTTTCACATGCACATATGTGTATGTACGTATACACCCATACAGACATGCACACACACTCCTACTCCATTAGCTAACATACCCTCCCTCTCCATAATCCCTGTCATGTACCTTTCAGGAGGTGATGGTTGTCTTAGTTGTCATCTACCCAAACAAACGTCATGGGCCCGTCCTCCCTCCTGATACTGTAGCCTCTTGGTACCCAGGGTGAGTTGGTGGAGAACAGAGAGATGAGAAGCAGAGGGCTTGGGGAAGGCCTATTCCTCTCTGACTCAGCCCTTTTTGGCATTATTGCAAAAGCTTGACTCCTGGTTGCCTTTTCCCAGCTAGTTGTCAGTTGGGGTGAAGATGTCTGCAAGTATGAGGTCTGGACGCTGCTGCTCATGTTGGGCTTTCCTTTTGGGAAATATTTCTCTTATTTATAGTGTCGGGCTTCTGGGGAAAGCAGTCATTGGTGTGTATGTGTATGTGCACGCACACACATACATATACACGTTTGTGTATGTGGAAATGCACTGGGCAAGTCAAAACTATAGAAGAGTTGCCTCCTGTCTCTCGAATCTTCCAGAGATATCACTTAACTGTTAACAACTTTTGTGTTAATCCCCGTCAGCCCCCAGCTCTTTTATTCTACCACGGCTGGAGAGTTGATACCTGCAGTCAGCCTGCCAGTAACTCTTAGTGTCTGTTTCTGACTTATTCTTCCTGTCTTGTCTTCCAACCCCCAATAATATTTCCACCTGGGATGCATCATTTGTACTCCCGATACTCTGTAGAGAAGGAGTCAGGATGCTGTCTTCCCACGAATAGTACTCAGTAACAAACCAACTGCATTTTAGTTGGGCAGTGCTCCCACCCACCCTCCAGATCCCTTCCAGCTAAAACCCTTCCCCCTTCCCTCCATGTGTTTCTCAGTTCCCCGTTCTGTTTGTTGGATTGTTCCACTGCCCCTCCTCCTCACCCTACCACCCTTGGATCGTAATGTAAAATTCTTTTACCATGTCAAGAAATTATTAAAAATACAGGTACTTTGACCTCTTTCTAAAGCCGCAGACCCTGGTGCAATGCTCTGGTGGCTAGGGACGTACTCATGCTTGCATGTGTGCACACTCGGACACCCACCTCCATGGACACCTAGCCACCCTGTTGTGTGTCCTTATGCCAGTTGAGCTGAATCTTTTCCCCAGTATAGTGGAAAGACTGAGGCTTCTGCCTACTGAGCTAGGGTGGGTGCTTTATTTGTGTTCAGTCTGAATTATGGGAAAGTTAGCTCTTCCCAGACCTAAGCTGCCTTCTTTCCCTACTTTCAGAAGATCCTAGTTCCTTCTTCCTGAGTGATACCCGTGAGCTGCCAGTAGAGGCTGCTGTCGCTCCATGTGTAAGGAATGACCTGGTTCAAGGCATGTCCTGTCCAGTCATTTTCTTTACCTTATACTAATTCTCCCTGAATAATGTCTTCAGTTTCTTGAGGAGACTCATAGTTTTGGTTTTCAGATTACTTGGAGGGCTGCCTAGGAATCGATCTCCCTCTGAAATAAAAGTTTCCTCAACTTGCACCTCGCAAGTAGCCTTCTGATTTCCAATGATCCCCTCGTTGTCTCTGTAAAAAGAGTAAGGTTTTGAACAATGGAGGAGCAGCTGCTCTGTTCTGTTTCAGAGATGACTACCAAAAGCTAGTGGTTTGTGAGTGCCTCCCCTGTGCCAGGCTCTTAAGTACCTAATGTGCATGATCACATTTAATCTTTAGGAATCTGTAGGGTAGTTGTATCTATTTGTTACAGATGAGGACACTGAGACTCAGGATAAGTATTTCCGCTAAGGTTACACAGCTGAGGGAACTGGGATTGGTGGACAAACCTGATTACTAAGCCCAGGCTCTCAGCCACTCCACTGGATGGAAAAGGCCTGACTACAAATCAAGGGCTTGGCATTAGGCAACAGGCAGAATTCAGTGCTTACTGCTGAACATGGCAGTGAATCCTGGAGTTGTTGGGATGCAGTTCCTGCCAGGAGGTAGGAAAATGGACAGCTCAGTGCTTGCATGCAGGCTGCAGAACTTAATTGGGCATCTGAGGTGTGTACTCTTCCTGAGACCCATTCCGAGTGGAAACTGGAGGTTAGCATCGTTAACCCAGATTCCCTTTCATCTGGTCTAAATGGTGAAAATCAGTAGTTGGTACTGACTGCTACCAGTGGGAGTTCAGGGGCAATGAAGAGGCTATGCATGTGGAAGCAGTGCCTTGGGCCAAACCACAGGACAGAAAATTGGAACAGAATTACATAAATCAAGGTCAGAAATTTCCTGCCCAACCCATGGGGTGGAGTTTTCTCCATTCCTATCCATCCTAGTGAATATAAACCCCGACTTGATGTCAGTAACTGGAAGGAGCGGCTGTTAGAACTCTGATTTCAGCTCTCAGCATCCACTATGCATCTCAAGATAGTCCTGGCGTTCCTGGCACTGTCCCTCATTACCATCTTTGCCCTGGCCTATGTTTTGCTGACCAGCCCAGGTGGTTCCAGCCAGCCTCCCCACTGCCCCTCTGTATCCCATAGGGCCCAGTCCTGGCCACACCCTGGCCAGAGCCAGCTATTTGCAGACCTGAGCCAAGAGGAGCTGACAGCTGTGATGCGCTTTCTGACCCAGCGGCTGGGGCCCGGGCTAGTGGATGCAGCCCAGGCTCAGCCCTCGGACAACTGCATCTTCTCAGTGGAGCTGCAGCTGCCCCCCAAGGCTGCAGCCCTGGCCCACCTGGACAGGGGGAGCCCCCCACCTGCCCGAGAGGCACTGGCCATCGTCCTCTTTGGTGGACAACCCCAGCCCAATGTGAGTGAACTGGTGGTGGGACCGCTGCCTCACCCCTCCTACATGCGGGACGTGACTGTGGAGCGTCACGGCGGGCCCCTGCCCTATCACCGTCGCCCGGTGCTGAGAGCTGAGTTTACGCAGATGTGGAGGCATCTGAAAGAGGTGGAGCTACCCAAGGCACCCATCTTCCTGGCTTCCACCTTCAACTACAATGGCTCTACCTTGGCAGCTGTGCATGCCACCCCTCGGGGCTTGCGCTCGGGGGACCGAGCTACCTGGATGGCCCTCCACCATAACATCTCAGGTGTTGGTCTTTTCCTTCACCCCGTGGGGCTGGAGCTACTACTGGACCACAGGGCCCTGGACCCTGCCCACTGGACTGTCCAGCGGGTCTTCTACCTTGGGCACTACTATGCAGACTTGGGCCAGTTGGAACGGGAGTTTAAGTCTGGCCGGTTGGAAGTGGTTAGAGTTCCTCTACCTCCACCAAATGGAGCTTCATCCCTGAGGTCTCGGAACTCTCCAGGTCCTCTTCCGCCTCTTCAGTTCTCACCCCAGGGTTCCCAGTACAGTGTGCAGGGAAACCTGGTGGTATCCTCCCTCTGGTCATTTACCTTTGGCCATGGGGTGTTCAGCGGCCTGAGGATTTTTGATGTTCGGTTCCAGGGTGAGCGAGTAGCCTATGAAGTCAGTGTCCAGGAGTGTATGTCTATCTATGGTGCCGATTCACCCAAGACGATGCTGACTCGCTATTTGGATAGCAGCTTTGGACTTGGCCGTAACAGCCGAGGCTTGGTGCGGGGAGTGGACTGCCCCTATCAAGCCACGATGGTGGACATCCATATATTAGTGGGCAAAGGGGCAGTCCAGCTGCTTCCGGGGGCTGTGTGTATATTTGAGGAAGCCCAGGGACTGCCTCTCCGAAGGCACCACAATTACCTTGAAAATCATTTCTATGGTGGTTTGGCCAGCTCAGCCCTTGTGGTCAGGTCTGTGTCATCTGTGGGCAACTATGACTACATTTGGGACTTTGTGTTGTACCCAAACGGGGCACTTGAAGGGCGGGTCCATGCCACGGGTTATATCAACACAGCTTTCCTGAAAGGGGGAGAGGAGGGCCTCCTCTTTGGGAACCGTGTAGGGGAACGAGTGCTGGGAACGGTGCACACACATGCCTTCCACTTCAAGCTGGACCTGGATGTGGCAGGTGAGTGCTGAGGGATGAGGGCTTGGGGGTGGGGTCAGGTGGGGTAGAGGGAAGGGAAGGGAAGGGAATCTCCCAGGTCAAGCTCAGATAAGTGGCAAGAGCGGGGTGTTCCAGCACCACAGCTCTAGTGGCAACAGGACAGGGACTGTTTAAGCATATTCAGTGCAGTCAGTCTGGTACTGGGCTACTGGGTATCTGGCAAAAGGTGAAAAGGGTTCCCCTGCCTAGCCCCTCTGACTTCCTGTGATTGTGAAATCAGTTTAAATGTAATGGCTGGGCGTGATTGCCTACTAGTTTAAATGTAATGACTGGGCATGATTGCCTTAGCCTCAAGTGACACTGGGTGGGTGAACTGGCCCAATGGGGCTGGAGTTGGAACACTTTGCTTCTTCCTAATTCTGAGGGTCAGTGAGGGTGGGGAGGGCAGGGTCCTGAGCCGAGGTCAGAAGCAGTCTGTTCAGAGTCTTCAGGGTCGGGGTGGACCTGGGGCTTGGGAAGGGGAGGGTACCAAAGCTGGGGTTGCTCCCCATGATAGGGCCACTCCTTGTCAGGAGGGTCATCCCATTCCTGTCATCACTGTTGACTCATGGCAGGCACACAGTCAGCTTGCTGCAAGTATGGAAAGAGATTTCTCAAGCACAAAGGGCTCAAAGCACACAGAGGACTTGCTGTTCCTGACAGACTTTGTCAAGGACAGAAAGAAACTTACAGACTCACAGACTTCTAGATCCACAAAGAAAATTAGAAACTCACCAGACCGTCCCCATTTTAAGGGAAACTAAAGAGGGTGGCGGGAGATGGGACAGGAAATGACTGCCCAGGTATAATGCAACATAAACTAGTATTTCTTGTGAAATGTTTTCTTATCCTCAAGTCTAAAGACATGGCACGTGCATGCCTGCGTGTGTCTGTGTGCATGAGGGTAGGGAGGACTAATAGCATGATTGAAATGATCATTTTTTAACTAGATTACTCTTTGACACACTTGGATTTTGACTTGTCTTCTGATTGGAAGTTTTTTCCAGCATCTTTGGCATTAAAGAGCCTTGTTTTGGGAAGTAACATTTATTGGACTCCTAGCATGTGCAGCATGGGCTGCTGCTGTGGGCCAGAGAGGGTGTGTCAGGCACCAGCGCACAGGATGGCTGCAGAGGCACCAGCTTCAGTGCAGTCCCTCCTGTGCCAGGCGCCTTCATATAGGTCTCATTGAAAGGAACTAACAGTCCAGACCTGCAGAAAGTGTATGACCAAATGCTGAGTTAGGCGATGCAGGTTATGGATGCTGTAGAATTCCAAGGAGCTCCCAGACAAAGGTATGAATGTGCTCGCTTCTGAAAAAGACTGACAGTACTTCCCACCTTGCTGAGATCAAAAGTGAAGCCTCAGAGCTGGGAGGAGTATGCAGGGGACCATGGGAAGGGATTGGGTTTTCTTTTTTGGAGGCAGAGTCTCACTCTCACCCAGGCTGGAGTGCAGTAGTGCAATCACAGGTTACTGCAGCCCCAACCTCCTGGTCTCAAGCAATCCTCCTGCCTCAGCCTCCTGAGTAGCTGGGATGACAGGCACACACTACCACACCCAGTTTTGTTTTGTTTTGTTTTGTTTTGTTTTGTTTTGAGACAGAGTCTCACTCTGTTGCCCAGGCTGGAGTGCAGTGGTGCAATCTCAGCTCATTGCAACCTCCACCTCCCAGGTTCAAGCGATTCTTGTGTCTCAGTTCAAGTGATTCTTGTGTCTTGGCCTCCGGAGTAGCGGGGATTACACGCGCACACCACCACACCTGGTTTTTTTTTTTTTTTTTTTCTTTTTAAGTAGAGATAGGGATTCACCATGTTGGCCAGGCTCGTCTTGAACTCCAGTCTCAAGTGAGCCGCTCGCCTTGGCCTCCCAAAGTGCTGTGAGCTACCATGCCTGGCATTTGTTTGTTTGTTTGTTTGTTTAAGTTTTTAAAAATTTTTTTTTATTTTTTAAAGAGGCAGTGTTTCATTCTGTTACCCTAGCTGGTCTCCAGCACCTGGGCTCAAGGGATGTGCACCACCCTTCCACCAGCCTCCCAAGTTGCAAGCTGCCACACCTGGCTCCGGAGTCAGTTTTTCAACTTGCTTCTCCACGACAAGTATCATTATCCCTTTCATAGTTAAACGAATGTCATCAGTCAGCTGCATGTGCTTTTCTGTTTACTGGGCACAGCCATAGAACAGCTTTAATTATGCCCAGTGTAGGGATTCAGAAAGTGAATCGGAGAAGCAAATTGGTCCAGGGACTGTTTGGTAGTCCAGTGCTAATAGAACTTTCTGCAGTGATAGAAATGTTCTGTGCTTGTGTTGTGGCTCTAAACAGTAGCCACTAGCCATGTATGGTAACTGGGCACTTTAAATGTGGCTAGTGTGACTGAGGAACTGATTTTTTTTTTTCTTTTTTTTTTTGAGACAGGGTCTTGCTCTGTTGCCCAGGCTGGAGTGCAGTGGTGTGACCTCAGCTCACTGCAACCACAACCTCCTGGGCTCAAGCAGTCCTCCCACCCCAGCTTCCCAAGTAGCTGGGACCACAGGCACGTGCCACCATGCCTGGCTGATTTTTTTTATTGTTTATAGAGTCAGGGTTTCACCACGTTGCACAGGCTGGTCTCAAACTCTTGGGCTCACGTGATCCACCCGCCTCAGCCTCCCAAAGTGCTGGGATTGCAACTGTGAGCCACCTCAGCTGGCCCTGAATTTTAATTTTCATAGCCACGTGTGGCTAGTGGTTACCCTATTGGACAAGGCAAGTTGGAAGAACACAGGAACTTGCGCTTGCCCAGACCTGGCTCCCAGCACAGTGTGCTCTGATGCTCTCTCTGCCTTTTGTCACGCCAGTGCGGTGGACATCATGTGGAAGACAGGGACCTGGCCCAGAGATCTTACCTGGTGTGGAACTCATCTCCCTTTCCTCCCCCTGGCAGGGCTGAAAAACTGGGTGGTAGCTGAAGACGTGGTGTTTAAACCTGTGGCTGCCCCCTGGAACCCGGAGCACTGGCTACAGCGCCCACAGCTGACTCGGCAGGTCCTGGGAAAGGAGGACCTGACAGCTTTTTCCTTGGGAAGCCCCTTACCCCGTTACCTCTACCTGGCTAGCAACCAGACTAATGCCTGGGGTCACCAGCGCGGGTACCGAATCCAGATCCACAGCCCCCTTGGCATACACTTACCCCTGGAGAGTGACATGGAGAGGGCCCTCAGCTGGGGGAGGTGAGGAGGGCCCTGGCCTGGGTGGAAGGAAAGGACTGCCCCTCACCTACCCCAGCCCTTGGAGACAAACTCCCTGCCCATGGCTACCTGTACCTCCCCTCAAACCCAAGTTAGATACACGGTGGGAAATGGTCTCACACAGAATCGGATCTAAGGGACTTCTGGGCCAGGAAAGGCACCTGACATCTTCCAACACCACCTTCTTACGATTCCTGGTCAGATACCAGCTTGTGGTGACCCAGAGAAAGGAGGAGGAATCACAGAGCAGTAGCATCTATCACCAGAATGACATCTGGACTCCCACAGTCACCTTTGCTGACTTCATCAACAATGAAACCCTCTTAGGAGAGGTTGGTTGCCCTAGGGACATAGGAAAGGGACACCTGTGGGCATGGTGTCTTGGCTGCCCAGCCTCTGGCCAGATGTTAGAGGGAATGGCCGATTTCCAGTTCACAGATTCAGAGGCCATGGAGTTTTCTGATGACCAACACAGGTCATCCCTCCTGGGGTGAGATTAGCTCTGGGACACTGGCTCCCCCTCTCCCCGCATAGCTGCTTACATAGATTGTGCCATGTGTTGTATGGGCATGAGGCTAGGCAGAGTGGAAGCCAGGCTGAGACTGCAGGCTGGGATTGTGGCTAAATGGTGGTTCTTTGGGTCTTGCTTGCATAGTCCTCCAGCTCCTCCCTCTTCCTGCAGGATCTGGTGGCTTGGGTCACAGCCAGCTTCCTGCACATTCCCCATGCCGAGGACGTCCCCAACACAGTGACTCTGGGGAACAGAGTTGGCTTCTTGCTCCGACCCTATAACTTCTTTGATGAGGACCCCTCCATCTTCTCCCCTGGCAGTGTCTATTTTGAGAAGGGCCAGGATGCTGGGCTCTGCAGCGTCAATCCTGTGGCCTGCCTCCCCGACCTGGCAGCCTGTGTCCCGGACTTACCCCCTTTCTCTTACCAAGGCTTCTAGTCCTGAGGGTGTGGCGGGGGGCATGGTTAGGCACATGTACCTTTCCCTGTTTCTACTTCTGTTCCCGGTGTTTTTCACACCTGCTCCCAGATTCCCTACCCTTCAGTGTTTCTCTCACATGAAAACCCCGTTAGTCCCTTTGGTTAATTCTTACTTCCTGTTCATCTCTAAAATGTTAAATTATAAAAATGATTTTAAAATATTCAAACAAAAATACCACAAATCCTACTACTCAGAAAAAGGTGGTGTTCACATTACACCGGACATCTTTTTATGCATGTGCATTCAAAAGGAAGAGTAGATAGAATTTTGTAAAACAGATGTTATATGTAATTTATAATAAAAAGTATTAGAGGAATTTTACTTGAATTTATTATTTGACCTTTTAAGTAGCTAGAGTCCCCTGGAGCATACTAAGGACTCTGGCCAGGGAAATTAGCGGTGGGGGACAGAGGGCAAGGGAGATAGACCTGGCCAAGGAATATTGTTTGGAAAGCTGAAGGGGCAGGGGTGGGGGTCTTTGAAAGGAGAACAATAGTTTGAAGTTACAGGAAAACATCTGGCCCTGACTAAGTGCAGGGTTGGGGAAGAAGCTGGGCTGAGGGGAAGAGAGGCTGCTCTGCGCAGATCCTACTCCTTCCCGGTGCTGCATTATCTTGAAATCTTCCTTCCCCTTCCCCCTAGCCCCAACTCTCCCCAACTCCAACCCTGACCCAGAAAGTAGTCTGATTTGGAGCCTGGAAGACAAAACCATGTAAGGTCTGTGGAAATCACAGCTGCTCAGACCCGCCTCCAACTCCAGGCACCCCGCCCCCTTGCCCCAGCCTTCCTGTGTCCTTCCCACCCTTAGTCCCAGGCATCTGACTACCGGGAACCTCAGCCAGAGTCCGGGAGCCCCCCCGTCCAGGAGCCAACAGAGCCCCCGTCGTGCTGGCGTGAGAATACATTGCTCTCCTTTGGTTGGATCCACTGCCCCTCTTCATGGGAAAATGAACCAGAAGACCATCCTGGTGCTCCTCACTCTGGCTGTCATCACCATCTTTGCCTTGGTTTGTGTCCTGCTGGTGGGCAGGGGTGGAGATGGGGGTGAACCCAGCCAGCTTCCCCATTGCGCCTCCATATCTCCCAGTGCCCAGCCTTGGACACACCCTGGCCAGAGCCAGCTGTTTGCAGACCTGAGCCGAGAGGAGCTGACAGCTGTGATGCACTTTCTGACCCAGCGACTGGGGCCAGGGCTGGTGGATGCGGCCCAGGCCCGGCCCTCGGACAACTGTGTCTTCTCAGTGGAGCTACAGCTGCCTCCCAAGGCTGCAGCCCTGGCTCACCTGGACAGGGGGGGCCCCCCACCTGCCCGGGAGGCACTGGCCATCGTCTTCTTTGGCAGGCAACCCCAGCCCAACGTGAGTGAGCTGGTGGTGGGGCCACTGCCTCACCCTTCCTACATGCGGGACGTGACCGTGGAACGTCATGGAGGCCCCCTGCCCTATCACCGACGCCCTGTGCTGTTCCGAGAGTACCTGGACATAGACCAGATGATCTTCGACAGAGAGCTGCCCCAGGCTTCTGGGCTTCTCCACCACTGTTGCTTCTACAAGCGCCGGGGACGGAACCTGGTGACAATGACCACGGGTCCCCGTGGTCTGCAATCAGGGGACCGGGCCACTTGGTTTGGCCTCTACTACAACATCTCAGGGGCTGGGTTCTTCCTGCACCCTGTGGGCTTGGAGCTGCTAGTGAACCACAAGGCCCTGGACCCTGCCCGCTGGACCATCCAGAAGGTGTTCTATCAAGGCCACTACTACGACAGCCTGGCCCAGCTGGAGGCCCAGTTTGAGGCCGGCCTTGTGAATGTGGTGCTGATCCCAGACAATGGCACAGGTGGGTCCTGGTCCCTGAAGTCCCCTGTGCCCCCGGGTCCAGCTCCCCCTCTGCAGTTCCATCCCCAGGGCCCCCGCTTCAGTGTCCAGGGAAGTCGAGTGGCCTCCTCACTGTGGACTTTCTCCTTTGGCCTTGGAGCATTCAGCGGCCCAAGGATCTTTGACGTTCGCTTCCAGGGAGAAAGACTAGTTTATGAGATCAGCCTCCAAGAAGCCTTGGCCGTCTATGGTGGAAATTCCCCAGCAGCAATGATGACCCGCTATGTGGATGGAGGCTTTGGCATGGGCAAGTACACCACGCCCCTGACCCGTGGGGTGGACTGTCCCTACCTGGCCACCTACGTGGACTGGCACTTCATTTTGGAGTCCCAGGCCCCCAAGACAATACGTGATGCCTTTTGTGTATTTGAACACAACCAGGGCCTCCCCCTGCGGCGGCACCACTCAGATCTCTACTCCTACTACTTTGGGGGCCTTGCAGAAACAGTGCTGGTCGTCAGATCTGTGTCCACCTTGCTCAACTATGACTATGTGTGGGATATGGTCTTCCACCCCAGTGGGGCCATAGAAACCCGATTCTATGCCACGGGCTACATCAGCTCAGCATTCCTCTTTGGTGCTACCGGGAAGTACGGGAACCAAGTTGCAGAGCACACCCTGGGCACGGTCCATACCCACAGCGCCCACTTCAAGGTGGATCTGGATGTAGGAGGTAAAACATTTTGGTGGGGAGAAGCCTTCTGGAAGAAGGGCTGAAAAGTTGTTTTCATTTGCTTTGGGTTTTGTGTAGATTATCCCATAAAGGAAGATGTGGATTTTTGTGCTTCCCTTTTTGCTAGATGGGAGAGAGTTGGCAGCTGAGTTTTATTTGGATCTTAGCTCACTGGCTGGGTGCAAAGCTGCAGCCTTCCTCCACGTGACCTCATCAGAAGATCTTGGGAAATGGCCAAGCTCAGGGAGGAGGCAGGATCTGGGCTAACAGGGTCCCCATTGCCCTCTTCCTTCCCTTGTACTTATATGGGCTCCGCTGCTGGGAGCAGCCTTCTGTTTGTCAGCTCATTTCTGTGTCTGGCCTGTGGTGCTGGTGTGTTGGAGGATCTCTTTGCATTCTACCAAGTCCCTGGCGTGTGCAGGTCCGTCATTCCAGGTTGTACGTTTCCTTTGGAGGTGGACCCTCCTCCTCCCTGATTTTCCTTCTTTCTCTGGTCACAATTCACAATCCATGTGAGGGTCACATGGAGCCTGTAGAGCATTCTGGATAGATCCTGGAGTCTGGTCACAGAGAGCCAAGGCTACATGATGGCTTGAAGTCTTCATCTTTGTCTTTTCACTGTCCTTCCCCACATTGAGTCAGTCACCAGGTGTTTTTTTTTTTTTTTTTTTTCTTTCTATTCTGCACCTGCAGTATCTCGCTGGATCACACTGCCATGCCCTGCAGGTGCCAGCCCTCTTTCTGCTGTTTCCGCTCTTGTTGCTCTCAGATCCAAGAGCCATTCTGCACCCAGAGGGCCTCCCATCCACACCAGCCTGCCTTTTACTCAGCTCTCACATTCCTCATCACCTGTGGGATCCTGTCCGCAGAAGCCCCTCCAAACTCTTTCTTTCACAGTGCAGCTCCAACCTGCCTTGCCGTGCTCTGCACAGCTATACCCACATACTCCATGTCCGTGGACACGCACTTCACACATTACAGTCAGGCATCCTCTTGTTTGCTTATGCTTTGTCTCTGCTTAGAATGTCCTTCCATGTCATCTCTTCTGGTAATATCCTTTAAGGCCAGGCTGAAAAGTTGCCCGGAAGGGCCCCCTTTTCCTGCCTGCAAGTGTATTCCTGTGGCCCGGAAGCTGCCTAGGCCATGCTCCTCCCACAGGACAGGCCAGTCAGTGGTTTGCCTGTCTGCGTGGAAAGCGAGAGGGTAAGGATGATGTTCATTCCTCTCTATCCCCAGGAGCGAGCACAGTCCTCTCTGCTAATGAATGTTGAAAGAATGAATGAGTGAAATGGAATGAAATCCCTGATGAAATATTTTAATTTATAGGTCCACAGCTTTGGCTGAAGGATTGGAGGTATCTTGGGGAGAGGGAAGAGAAGCAGGGGCACACTCAGTTCTGGGCTACTCTTTGGCCCCCAGTCTGAAGCCAGGTGGAGGCAGAGTCCAGAGGGGCCAGGGTGGTTGCATGACAGGCCCTCCCCCATCCCACCCTGAGCAGGACTGGAGAACTGGGTCTGGGCCGAGGATATGGTCTTTGTCCCCATGGCTGTGCCCTGGAGCCCTGAGCACCAGCTGCAGAGGCTGCAGGTGACCCGGAAGCTGCTGGAGACAGAGGAGCAGGCCGCCTTCCTCGTGGGAGGTGCCACCCCTCGCTACGTGTACCTGGCCAGCAACCACAGCAACAAGTGGGGCCACCCGCGGGGCTACCGCATCCAGATGCTCAGCTTTGCTGGAGAGCCGCTGCCCCAAAACAGCTCCATGGCGAGAGGCTTCAGCTGGGAGAGGTGAGTGGTGGGCAGTCAGAGAGGAGGGGGGCAGTGAGAATGGGAAAGGAGTGTTGGCGGACACTCAGCTCACCCTGTATGTGAGGGGAGAGATCTCTCAGGAAGATTTTTCTTTTCTTTTCTTTTCTTTTCTTTCTTTTTTTTTTTTTTTTGAGATGGAGTCTTGCTCTGTCCCCCAGGCTGGAGTGCAGTGGCGCCATCTCACTGCATCTTCCACCTCCCAGTTTCAAGCGATTCTCCTGCCTCAGCCTCCCCAGTAGCTGGGATTATAGGCATACGCCACCACACCTGGCTAATTTTTGTGTTTTTAGTAGAGACAGGGTTTCACCATGTTGGCCAGGCTGGTCTCGAACTCCTAACCTCATGATCCACCCGCCTTGGCCTCCCAAAGTGTTGTGATTGCAGGCATGAGCCACCACGCCTGGCCAGAGGTTTTTCTAGTTATCCGAAGAAACCATGATGGGCACATTTTCCCCTTGGAGGCTAAAGCCCAGGAGTGAGAACTCTCTTCTCTTTTGGATGGGAGAGGGGTTGTGCTGTGAAATGGCTGGGGATAAACAGGAGGACTTGACCCCCTTAGGGTGTCGCCGAGTCGGTTGTGTCAATGCAGTTGGGGAAGCTGAGCTCTGAGCACTCAGTTCCCTTTCGTCACAATCAGGCAGCAGGATGGGGTCAATGGCCATGGAGGCCTGACCAGTGCCTCCCTAGGTACCAGCTGGCCGTGACCCAGCGGAAGGAGGAGGAGCCCAGTAGCAGCAGCGTTTTCAATCAGAATGACCCTTGGGCCCCCACTGTGGATTTCAGTGACTTCATCAACAACGAGACCATTGCTGGAAAGGTCAGCTGGCCGGAACAGAGGGCACAGGATAAGCCTTACTTTCTCTTGGGAGGGTCCCTGAAAACCACCTGTACTTCTCAGGGGTGGTGCTGATTCCTGCCTTCTGCACTTCAGTAGGTCTGATCACTATCCTTTGAGGGAACCTTTCTGAG